TCGACGACTGAAAATTCTCTTTCTCTCTCTCTCTCTCTCTCTCTTTTCTTTTTTCTTTTTTTTTTCTCATGGTCCCGTCTACGTCCTAATTTTTTCCTTTTTTCTCCGTACACGGTTCTTATTCGATCCGATAGTATTCTCCTCTTCTTTCGAATCTACGATAACAAATGGAAAACATTTGAAATTCAGGCGAAAGAGAAAAAGAAAATTAGATTCGTTGTAGAAGATTTCGAATACGCGTTATGATTCTTTCTTTTTCTCTCTTTCTCTCTCTCTCTATCTGTCTATCTATCTATCTCTTTCTGTCCAACCATACCATATTTAATTGGGCATGCACTTCGACAGTGCGTCGATATTTTCGTTCCGCTCGGTTAGAAGCTGCGGTCCGTGCCCGTCAACGTTCCGAGCCGACCGCAATTTTAGTACCAGCCACGAAACGTCGGCTCTGGGTTTATCCTGGTGGCCGACGCGACGCCGTGATGGCTTGGGGAAAAAAAGACGAAAAAATAAAAAAAGAAAGAAAGAAAGAAAGAAAAAGAAAAAAAAAAAAAGAAAAGAAAAGAGGGGGAAAAAAGGAAAAAAAAGAACAACAAGCGAAAAGGGAAAACAAGGAGGGCACGAAACGAGAGCGAAAAAGAAAGAGAGGAGAAAGGGAGAACAATGGCCGAGGAACTTTTTTTTTTGTGTTGTGCGTGTATGGAACGAAACGACGTGTTTTACCTAGTCCTCTCTGCCTCTACCTCCCACCTCTTCCCGGCCCCTTCACCCTCTTCTATCCCCTTTACCCAACTCTTTACCCTTGCCCCTTTCCACTTTTCCATAACCTCATCCGGACCATAAGAGAGTTATTTCGCACGCATATTAACGCGCGCGTTCTGCGCATTGTAGTAAATTGTCAGTGTGAGAATCTCTGACCAACACCGAACGACAATGAAACAGTGGGACGGGGTGCTAGAGAGGTCGAAGGTAGTGGTACGGGTAGGGGTGGGTGTGTGAGGGGAGTAGGGGGGATTGGTCATGGGATGAAAGTGGGTGGGGGGTCTATAACACAGCAACACCGGCTGGTGTGACCATAAGGAACGAACGGACCGTGACAATGTGACAAACGTACGAAACTTTACGGTGACGGTACTTTAATTAACCGTTTTGTAGTCGCGCGTTAATTCGTAACGACGGAGTTATCTTACGCGGGAACTACTGTTTCGACCTGACCCCCAACCCCCCTCCCTCCCTCCCTCCCTCCTCCACTCCTCCCCCGTTACCCCCTATGGAGAAACGTTATTACTCAAAACCACTCTGCTAAACTCATAATTCACACAATCGTATAATGAATCCAACGATCTACGTGGTAACGCAATAATAATACTTTTATTATAGGCTAATACCGATTTTACGATTAATTATTATCCGTGAAATCGAATGTGATAAGGAATAGAAGAAACAAATAAAGGAATAAGCAAGAAAAAAAAAGAAAGAAAGAAAGAAACAAAAAAATGTGAAAATTTTATTACCACGGTAGCATTGAAAATATTTGTCTTTTCTTTTCTTTTCTTTTTTCTTTGTTTTCTTTCTTTTTTTTTTTCGGACGACGCCACTCGTGCGACGCGTCTTACGTCCGACAATTCTTTTTTATCAAGGATTATAAAAAGAAGAAAAAAAAAAAAGAAAAAAGAAAGGAAACCCTCTAGCAATGAAGTTTCACCAGAAAAGATACTAAGTTCATAGAAAAGATACGAAGTTCATAGAATCATGTTAGGCATTAGTTATAGAGGTAGATTCAAGATCTTCACGAGACGACTCTGTTTAATCGGCTTTATGGTACCCTTGTTACCTGCCAAAGAGAGAAAGTAATTATTCACGTTGTATGACTTCGATTTATGATAGAGTAATCCCGAACGTACGTAACATCGTACAAACTGACTTTATTATAATCTATATTTTCTTCGTACGTCGTTTGATCATAGATACATACTACCATTAACGATACCACATTTTTATAGATACTTAAATGATACGTGAATTTTAAATAGATAATACTTACGTAAATTTGATATGTAAAATTTGAATATCTAAAAGAATCTTCAAGCTGAACAAGTTGAAATTAATTGAAATTAATCGAAATTATTATCGTTAATTATTTCCATTATTTCCATTTCGATTTATCGGATATGTAATATCTAAACGTTGAATCGATTAATTCGATTGATTATACAAGAAAATTTTCTTATCATTAACAAGATCGTTCAATAATCGTTGATTACGAAGAAGAACAAATGTGAATTCTCGAATGGGACGGTACCGTTGAAAGATCGCACACGTATATTCTTCTCTATAGTATCGCGAAAACTCTATTCTTTTTCGTACGAACCTTTACCTCGTATACGATAAAATGCTTCTACAAAGTATTTTATATTTCAGCCGAAAACCAAGACGTAGAAGACGAAGAAGAAGAAGAAGAAGAAGAAGAAGAAGAAAAAGAAAAAGAAAAAGAAGAAGAAGAAGAAGTAAAAGAAGAAGTAGAAGAAGAACTGAAACTTTTTACCTCTCAATAGAATGATGCGCTTCCCCTCTTTAAATCCCTTGGCGCCACTCGCGGCGAATATCAAGAGAGTGGCCTTTGAAAATATACCTTTTATATACCACGTATCTGTACATGTCTCTTATGTACCTACATATAAATATAAATATTATATAATTATAAATATTATATATATATATAACATATACATACGCACATATACATATATATATATATGTGTTCACTAGAATATTTTATAAAATACGTTCGGCACTTAAAAATCATTAGAAACATTCGTTTTCTTATTCTCAAAAGTGAATAAAAAAAAACTTACATATTATCGTTTTAAAATTCTTACGTTTTAAGTACTCTCGATTTAGTGAATATTAATACAATTATAATAAGGGACTAATAGTTAAATGATGATTTAAATTAAAACGTGGAAAAACGTCGCTTCAGAACGATTCCCTTGATTTCAATTTCCCTTTGATCTTTACTTTACCTTCTAAAAGAAAATTAATCACTTAATTACGCTTGCTCACTTTCTTTCTGATCGCAATTATATTATATGTATATCGATTATGAAGACGGTTAAAGCTATATAGAAAGAGGATCACCATCAAATACATTTTTCATGAAGAACCATCCGTTTTCATCCTCTCTCTCTCTCTCTCTCTCTCTCTCTCTCTCTCTCTTTCTCCCTCTCTCTCTCTCTCTGTCTATTTATCTATCTATCTATCTCTCTTTATCTCTCCTTCCTTATAGTTTATTTTGTTAAGTCAAGAGATAGCATGCCCATTGAATATTTACTTATCATTATTATACGGTTTTTACCAAATGGTATCTGGTAATATATACCTTTGAAATTCGACTAGGAGGAAAACGAAGAAGAAAGAAAAAGAAAAAGAAAAAGAAAAAAAAACAGACGAAGGAAAAAGATTGAAATTAGAAGAAGACGAAGAAGAAGAAGAAGAAGAAGAAGAAGAAGATTGTTAGATGTTTCTGCTACTGGGTGAAAGCTGACATAACATCTACGAAACACTGTGTAGGTGGATCTCTCTCTCTCTCTCTCTCTCTCTCTCTCTCCTTTGAGGACGTATAAAACAACATTGTGTCGAGAGGGGTATGGTCGAAGGGATCTTAGCTTTCTAGAGTAGAGTCTACCTCCTCTTTCACGTCTCATTTCTCTTCACCGCTTTCCCAGTAACATGCTTACACTGCACACAGGGTTATCCAAAACATTAGAAGGAGAGGTAACTTTAATCCCTCGAACACGATGGAAATTAACGACATCAACGACTTTGTACTTGACGGTATCCACTCGTTCACTCACTCACTCACTTACTCACTGACTCACTGACTCACTCACTCACTCACTCACTCACTCACTCACTCACTCACTCACTCACTCACTCGTTCATTCGTTTGTTTATATTTACGCTTTATCGAATTTTCTCTCCTACGAATGCAGTGATATAACCCTATGCCTCTTTCCTCTACCCATTCTATCCTATCTATATCATCTACCTCTTCTCTATCTCTATGCATATTCACGTAGCTTCTATTAGAGAACCGGAAAATACGTCGTATTTTAGAGCAACAACGTTGGATGATCGCGCTCGATCGAATGAACGTCCGTTCCTCTCCTCTTCTCTTCTCTTCCTCTATTCTCTATCCTCGAACTCTATCGCTAATTTATATCGCTATACGAAAGAGGAAAAGTCGATTTTGGTACGAGAGAATATATCATACGTATGTACGTACCACGTTTGTTTTTGTGAATTTTTTCTCTCTCTCTCTCTCTCTCTCTCTCTCTCTTTCCTTCTTTTACTTTTTCTACTTTTTTTGTTTTCCCCTTTCTCGTTCGATTTGAAAAAATATAGATCGTAGTAAATACGTGTATCTACGTCGGAAATCTTTTTACGAGTACGAATTGAAATCATTTGCCCGAGGTTATTGCTTGTTTTCCGATATTCGATTTTTATATACATACGTATGTATATGTATACGTATGTATTTGTGTAGATAAATACGTACGAATCTTCGGTGATAAATAAGAGAACGAGTGTTAAAGGAATAACAACGTTATATTATTTTGATCATAGTCGCGTCGCTCGATCTCTGTTTTGTTTTTGTAGATAAAGTGGATAAGACGCCCTTGGTTCCCACTCTCTTACTTTATTTTCAAAACATAATATATGTATGTATACGTACAGCTCTTGTCGAGAAATCCTCAGTCTAAGATAAGCCGTCGGGGTATAAAGTACTCTTCATACATAAATAAGATATACATATATATATTATTTAAATTTTCACTATAGGGCCAAGATAAAAAAAAGTTATAAAAGTTGACCTTTATTTTTCTTTTTCTTCGTTATTCCAACCAATCGCAATTTTTTCAAAAAAATTTATTATATATATATATATAAAGATATAATTTTGTTTATATATTTTACATACCTAACGAGTGAACGTTAATAAA